CCCTTGCCATTACAGCCATCCAATAGAGCCAAAGAAGCCTTTGTGGCTAAAACAGAACCTTCCACAAGCCTATAAACACAGGCTGGTTCCTTTAAAGTACAGCTGAAGCATTTTCTGTACAGGCCACTGTAAACACTGCAAGAAACCTACTTTTGCCATTTTTTTCTTCACCACAACACTGAGCTATGAAGACACCACTGGGGGACAGGACCCACAGTTTTAAGAAGCACTGATCTAGATGATTTTGACTATATCTGCAATAATTCAGTGTTATCAACTATGGGGTTTTTTTTCTGTTTCTGGTCCAAAACACTAGAAAATTATAGTTTCTCAAAACCTAAATTAGATAAAGATGCATGTTTATTTTTAATTTTACTTATATATGGCATCTCTTCTCCAAAACAAAAATCATTTAACATATAACTATTTATTAAACAATTATTAACAACTAAAAGCAAGTTGTGATATTAAAACAAAAGCTAATTATAATATCCACAGTTTAATTAAAAGTAATTAAAAAGCAGATGCATTTCAAAAATGCAACACACACTCATTAAAAGCAACTACTCTGTATTTTTGTCACAGACCATCTGTTGTCTTCAGTAAAATCACAGTAAAAATAATTAGCCACATCCATAATAATACCAAGGTTTTATTTCTTCAAAACATTAGTTTTTGGACTATAACTTCCAAAATTCTCAGAAAGCATGGCCAAACTCTACTTCCAAAACTCTACCTGGGGAGAGTGGATTGAGCTCCCTCTGTCAGCTCTAGCTCCCCGTGCAAGGACATGAGAGAAACCTCCCACAAGGATGGTAAAACATCAAATATCCAGGCATCCCCTGGGCAATGTTACAGACAGCCAATTGTCTCACACCAGAAGCACTTTGCAGATTCTCAAGTCGCTCCTGACATGGAAAAAAAACTTCCAAAATCACTATTTTCTTTTAAAATCTTGTTGAGATCTCTATGCACCAGCACTATATTCTGTGTAAGGGATTCTTCTAAACCTTAAGACAAGCATCATAAATATTATAGTATTATTCATTAAAGATATCAAGAGTGGCATTGTCTAGTCAAATACATCACTCCTGGGCCATATGAAACCAAATCAGATCTGATTTCCTGATACACTAAGTACAATGCCAGCACTGCCAGGATGTATGGGAAGCATTTTGCTGGAAAGGCAGGCCTAACAGTTAAGCCATGGAGAAATGCCAGAATTGAATACCATAGGGATACTTTTGTTATTTTAATGTTTTTAATTACTCATTTCCCCCCTCTGTAAAAGGAGTTTCTCAACCAGTTTATATAGCATGAAAACATCACTGAAAAGATGAGTTATTGAATCTCCATAATTGTCCATAAAAACACAATGGACTTCACTGGAAAGGATATGTTAGACTCCTTATATCAGCCATGGTGAGAGTGCCTAATGTTAGGTTGGCCCTATATTGGGTAGAGTGAGCCAGCCATATCGGGCAAAATTAAATTTGGGGCATGCTGAAAAAGCAGCAATTGTTTACTTACAAATGTATTATGACTCATGTTTACTGATGCTCCAGGATAGTTTGGTGGTCTACCTCAGGCAGCAAAATATATTGGGTCAATCTAGAATATACAGCTTAATCTTGCCTGTTCTAGTCTATAATGAACCCAAACGATGGTTCTTAAAGTGACAATTCACACCAACACTAATGCATCAGGTTCCATTAACTTGGCATCCATCTGGTTCCCATTCCTTTTGTAAGTAGCAAAACAGAGAGTACAGCATAACCTTACGTAGGATATCTTCACATTGAAGTTTTATGGTCCCTTTTCACTTTTTGGGAGGGGACCTGTCAAATGCCATCAAACAATGCTGGCCTGGCTACACTCCCATTTCTCTTGAAATGGAGGGGAAATGTCGCAAGATGCTTCCTCCTCCATGACGGAGAGGAAAATTGAGCTACCTGAATTTTTTGCTCTTTCATCCATATAATAACAATATAAATATAACAAAACTTTACTTATATCCCACCATATCTCCCCATTGGGATTCAGGGTATTTTTCAATAAGTTGCGGCAAACATGAACTAACCGAAACCACCCAAATCATATCCAACATCCACATCAAAATAATAATAAAGACAGCACCAAACAATAGACAATGACATAAAGTTATGTTTTCACAGTTAAACATTAATAACAGACTGGAGGATAAACACCAATAGAAATAAAAACTTTTTAAAGATTTAAAAGCCAATATAGCTAGAGTAGCAAGCCATTTCCATTCCATAGCATCTAAGCATTGATCTTCTATGCCTCTCTATATGCTTCAGTGCATAAGAAAGTTTTAACTGTTTTTTAAAAGAGAGTAAGGAGGGGGCCATTTTGATCTCTTTTGGGAGTTCCAGAGGCAGGGAAAGGGCAATGCATCAATGCTGCTCTTTCACCCATATGATGGGAACAGGGGCAGAGAAGCAACACACCTTTTCCCATCCCCACAATAGAAGGTGGGAGGGCACACAGAGCATCACAAGGCACCCCATGCACATGCCCTTTTTTCCGGCAACTGCCAGCAAAATGGAACAATCCCAGGGGCTGTGTGAAGAGGTCCTTGGCAAACATATGGTCATTCTTCAAAGACAGAAACAATACAGGGGGAAAGGCAACAGGCTACGAGCCTGGTTGCCACCAGTAGTGCTTCTGAAGGCAGTCACACGTGTGAAAAAGGAATAACAACTTGATTTTTAAAAAATATAGTAATGCTCAAAGCTTTGGTTCCATGTGAAGAGTGTGACTGCTTCTAAATGAAGGATGATAGCACATTTGATAACAAGGACACCAGCAGGAGGCTGGATAAAATACTGGAGACAAAGCTAAGAATGGGAAGCAGTCATAGAAGATCAAAATTAGCTCTTGATCAAGAAAATGTACTGATTTGACCTAGACGTGTTTCTGCCATTTAGACTGGGTAAAATGGGCCCAATAAGTAAGTGATAGGAGGAAAAACATTTCTCTCTCAGTTTTACTACCTGGGTTGCCTTATCACATGATTCTTAGCATAAAAACTATATGGTTCCCTAGAAGGCTACAAACTCAACCAATTCTCACCACACTTAAGTTGAAGGCTTAATTTATTTCATAGCCCAATCTTAATTTTCTAAAACCAGCTTTGAGATTTCATTGCTGGACAACAGAGATATTGATGTTATTGTATACCTTGTGGTTTCTTCTGAAGATAACACAGATACCCTGGACTAAGCATATGTGAGACTATGGATATCTGTATAGGTAGTCTCCAAGTTACAAATAAGTTCTTAAGTTGAATTTGTATGTAAGTAACTCCAGCCAAAAGTATATATTTTTAAGCTTTGGATAACATAGGAAAAGGTTAGTGTCCTTGTGGTGTTTATTTTGCTGTCCTTGCCCCTGTTCAGAATATTTCCCTTCACTTTCTGTCCCTGTGATAATTGGATTTTGAAAGGCATGGTGATAAAGCTTCAGTTTTCCTCATGATAATTCTTCCAGGAGTAATTTTCAAGAGGTAGATTTCAATTCAGGCCAACAAGGCAGGGCAGAATTCAACAATTGTTCATACAGCGCTGGACCATAGGTCCTAGCAACCCTGTCCAGCCTAGGCAACGGTGAGTACTGGTGAGAGCTATTCCCCACCCATTCTGTAGAAGGAGGATAACTTGACTTTTTTGTTGGAAATGTACAGGTTCCGTACATATGGATCGACAAAATGCTCACCGTTACAATATAATGTTGTGCCAATACTGTGACAGCATGAGATAGTGTCTTAGATATTATGATCATTGTCCCTTTCAAACAAAGAATCAGATTCTGACTTACCGTACAAACATATAGAACAAATCAGTTCAGATCAATGAGATTTAAGTGAACCATCATAATTAATTTTCCCTGTTGATTTTATTCAGGCTGCTCTGATTCTGGCAATGCTGAAGTCCCACACTTCATTTTGGTTGCTTAAAAGATTTGCTACATTTATGTTTTAATAAAATTAAAAGGGGATACATAAAATAAATGGAGGTGCAAATTATTTTAGAAACTCCAAAATGGATCCATTGACAAGTATTCCAACAGGAAAAAAAGAAAGAAAAACAAACTACTCCATCAAATGATTTCAATGGAAGTGTTTCCCAGCTTGAACTACAATGTTTCTGTAGGTGAGACATTTTAGATATTTCTACATTCTCTGCTTGACAGAGATGCTATTGAGCATCACCTCATTAGCCATACAGGACAAAGCTATACCACAAATGTTGCTGTTTCACAACTGAGTGAAGACAAAATGTTTATATAAAGACATAGTTGAATTTGGGAATTAATCTAAACAAACACAAGGCTAGGTTTTTGAAGGATGACATATTTTTAAATAGGTTGTAGAGCTTCTCTTCATGTTTTTTAATATAAAAAAGCATGGAAGATACGTTCCCAGATTTTGAATGGATATATGAAATTGTGACTACTAATAAACCCCATTGAAATGAAGAATACCATAGTCATGGCGGAGGACCTAGAAAATGCTTAGAGACATAAATAAAAATGCAGTCATTCTTCAAAATGGCAACTGGGCTTCCAGCACTTCCAAAATTTTGTCTTTGTGTTTTGGTATTTTTGGTAATCTTATAAGTTTTGCAGGGTTCCAAGAGCAGGACCAGTCCTCTCAAATCCTCCACTGTTGTCCAATCTATTAGCAAAGAAAATGCATAATAAAGAACATGAAAGCAAATATGTTTAAGTGGGTGAGACAATTACATTTCTCTCTCTCTCTCATGGTCTCAAATTCTCTCTAGTTCTTTAGAATGCATCTTCAACATGTAATGTACATAGGCATATTAAGGGCATGTCAACTAACAAATCTTTAGCTGAGACGCGGCTGCACACAATGTCACTCTCTATTATTCTGAATTAATACCACAGGTGAATTCTGTTGCGTTTCTTCTCCCATCTATCCTGCCCTTTAAAGTTCTTCTCTATTTCTTCTTCAGCCACCTGGGTTGGAGGTGGTTATATAAATGGAACGGCCGAGGCTGTGTATGTACCAGGCTTTGGACTCGCTTGGGCCCAGGCACCCATTGGATATTCTCTCAGCCTTATTGTTGGTAAGTGAAAGATGCAAAATTAACTGGTCAACACACATTTTGGTGCCTCAAATGTTAGCCCTGCTTTTGATTATATTTGATTTGCTGATTCCAAAAAATGAACCAGTTTTCTCCTATCAGCTCTAGTTTTTGAGATACAGAACATATGACATCTACCAGTTGCCACCTGCTCACCCATAAAGAATCATAACCATATCTTAAAAAAACTAGAGCGAATGTGGTGTATCCAATGCAATTTTCTGAGTCAGCACCCCAGATAACCTCAGGAACAGGCCTAAAAACCAGGACACCAAGGGAAAAAATGGTTTTGGTTGGGCTGTATTATCAATAATTCCAGTTGAAGTTTATCTTTCTATTCAGTCATCTTCAGCCATCGTGGTCTGGGATGTTATGAAAATTAGGGTTGCTAGATAGAATATGGGATAGGGCTCCTAATGCTTTTGAGCTGAAAGGAGTGGTGGATGTTAAATAAACCTTTATTTACTATCATCATTATTCTAATCATCAATCAGTGAGGTTTGCTGTGATGTCTCATCAGGAGGAATTACATCTTTCTAATCCACATTTTGGAGCCCCTGGTGGCACAAAGAGTTAAACCACTGAGCTGATAAACTTGCTGACTGAAAGGTCGGCGGTTCAAATCCGGGGAGCAGGGTGAGCTCATGCTGTTAGCCCCAGTTTATGCCAACCTAGCAGTTTGAAAACATGCAAATGTGAGTAGATCAATAGGTACCACTCCAGCAGTAAGGTAACAATGCTCCATGCAGTCATGTCGGCCACATTACCTTGGAGATGTCTGACAAAGCTGGCTCTTCAGCTTAGAAATGGAGATGAGCACCAACCCCCAGAGTTGGACAGGACTAAATATCAGGGGAAACCTTTACTTTTACCTAATCCACATTTTAGCTGATGGACTCTCACACACATGCCTGTTTACTGGCTAGCAGAAAGGGGTGGATGGCAGCAACTGAGAACCATTCTGCTCTGTTCCTGTAGCTTGGATGCACAGCAATGACATCAGAGACCTATGGAGAAACCTGGGAGGTTGTGGAGGATACCCGTTGATGGGAATTATAATTCAAGTTGTGTTGATATCTATGATATTTCTGGGTTTTGGTGTTTCAGGTGGCTTGTTTTTTGCAAAGCCCATGCGTTCCAAAGGCTATGTGACCATGTTGGACCCCTTTCAGCAGATTTATGGGAAAAGGATGGGAGGGCTTATCTTTATACCTGCCGTGATGGGAGAGATGTTCTGGGCTGCTGCCATCTTCTCTGCATTAGGTAAGTGTTGCAATCCAGAGCAGGGAACGAGGCCCTAAGATAACTATCCACCACACTTGGCTGTGAAAAACAATCCTTTTTTATTGAAGAAAAATGGTTACAAAATAAAGGAAAAATGCAAGTCAAAAGCCACAGCAAAATCAGCAAACATGAATTTAAATGGACAAAGCAAAACCAAAAGCCTCACTGGGAAATACTGGAATCTGTTAGCAATCCACTAACCGTACTTGATATCCTAGAAATCTTTCCAAACTACGGCCAGGGAACCGGGAGAACTGCCAAGGTCTTCATCAATTCTGAAACGATGCCTGAACTGAGGCAATCAGCCTGGCGTATTGCAATTAAAACTCAAGAATCGGTTCCGTGAACCGCCCTTCTGTTTTGAAGCCAATGTTTTTAATTCTTGAATTCGGGAGGATTGACGAAAACTGAGTGTTTTACTTCTGTCTTCCCAAATTTGGCCCCTTCTGTTGTCATTACAGTTAACAGGTGCAGAAGGGAGGGAAAGTTCAAGGTCTCCCTCTGAAACATTCTCATGAACACTGGTACTTTCATCTTCCAAATCTACAGAAGTTCCTTCCTCACTAATTTCAGGAACATTGGCATTTTCCAAACCTACAGCAGTTTCTTCCTCACTAATTTCAGGAGCATTGGCATCAAAAGGTACATTTCCACTAGCATCAGTAAATATACTTTCATTAGCATCAGGAGGAACAAACAGAGAATCAGGTTCAAGTTCAAACTCAGGCTGAACCCCAACATAAAACACTAGTAGTAGTTTCATAGAATGATCATTAGCTGCTGGTATCTGGACAAATGTATGGGAAACTTTATTAATAACTTTATTTGTAGTCTGTCCTGGTTCTGATTAAATGGAAGTTGGCTATTTGTAGCACAGAGGAAACATCCAAAAGGAGAAGTGTATGATCACTGGTGTGCATGTACATGCAGTCACAAACACTCACTAATCCATTCAGAAATTCAAGGTAACAATGATACAGAGGTACATTGGTATCAGAAATCTGATTGTAGAACATTCTGCAGAAATGTCAGGTGTCCTTCTATTTATAGTAACGTTTGGGGAATTTCATCACGAATGGCTTTGACTTTACAGTTTGTTTTAACTTTAAGGAGATTTGAGGTGATTATGTTGCAACTGAAAATGTATTTGTTCATATTAAGCCATTTAATCTTCCTAGTAAAAACAGAAAGATTCGAACGCTGAGCAATAATATATCTCATTACTTGTGCTTGCAAGTTTAGAGGATCTAGGATTTCTTAAATATGTAATTATACTGTTGTGAACTATCTGATCAAATAACATAAAATGGAAAAGATGATAGATAGAGATGGCAATGTAAACACATACTTATGTCACAGACAAGGACTACAGTTGAGTGGGAAGATTCAACATTGTCAAGCATCTGATTATTAACTTATACAGCTCATGTGTAACTGAAAAGTCTAGACAAGTATGAACCTTTTGCTGGTCTCTAAGGTCGTTCCCCACCCCTCCCCATTTGAGGGAGGTTTGTTCTTAGCCAATAGGAGGCCACTAGTGCTTCCCTCGATTCCAGTCTAGAGTGGCTGCATTAATATCAGATGTAGAGGGAAAACGTGATGTGAAAGAAGAAAACTAACTGCAGTTTTGAAATAATCATGACTAGTTAAGTCTAGAACAGCTAAAAAATCAAATTCAACAAGAATTACATTAAAAATTGCTTCCAGTGATCCAGTATCTGATCCCAGATTATCTGCTTTGATTATCTGGATTATATGAGACTACACTGCCATATAATTGTGTTTGAAGCAGATAATCTGGGATTGCAAACTGGATTATATGGCAATGTAGATCCAGCCTTTGTCATTTGACATCTCAGCCTTTGATGGAATTTAGTCTCCAAATGGGTTTTTTTTTTTTCGCATTCTTGAGAGAGACTATAGTTTGATAGCACTTTTAGCTTCAAGGAAAACCCTTCAGAATAATTACTGTTAAGTGGCCTTTGCAATGTTTGCTAGTTGTTTTCCTTTTTTTAAACCCCCCCCCCCCCCCCACACACACACACACACAAAACTGCACATGCAAAGCTGTTTTTGCAGTAAAGACTTTTTTAAAATAAAATAATCAACCTGATCTCCAGCTGTGCTCTGATTAGCTAGAAAGCAATGGGGAGCTTTTTAAACATCATTTAATCGTATGTGCTGAAAAGTCTGAGAATATATTCCATGCTGAGGTGATGGAAACTGAATGGGTTCAACAATTTTCAGGAAATTTAAAATGCGCCCTCTCTTTTTACACACTGCTCTCTAAGTGGAAACTTTCTGAGGTGCTTCACAAGCAAGCAAGTAAATCAAATGCCTTTTAAGCCTGTTGTGCTCTCAAAAGAACAACTTGTAGACTGGGAATGAAGTGAGACCTGTTAATTATAGGCGTGAGTGGGTCACATAAACTATGAGATCAGTATAGCAAAGTATGCAAGAATAGGTTCCTTGCAGGGGATGGAAACAGGACAGCCAGCTATGATGAGTACGGTGGGCGTGTTCTGCGAGTCGTTGTTGAAAAGTTTAATCTCTTCCAATCTCTAGCTCCTTATTTCCCCAAAGCCCTTCCAACAAGACAACAGTTAGGTAATGTTAGACCCTAGACTATGTGTTCTTATGACAGCTCCTCTCCCATGCCACCCACCCTTACAAATGAATCTGTCTTCATTCACATTCTTTAAAATAACAAATAGCATTACAAGCAAAACCTTTGCATCACCTCAAATGCAATGTTTAACTACAGTCCATTCATATCTGGCCAGCTGCTCATCCTCAACTTTATAGTTCTCAAATCTTGAGGACATCATGTATATAAGCAACAGGACTCCATATACATTATTTTGCCTCTTTTAAGCATCACAAACCTTCTACCTCTTTAGCAACCCATAACAACATATGTAACTATGAACTGATGAAACATATTTGATGAATGCATGTCTTTCTAAGATGGGCTTCTCCTCATTTCTCTCTCCAAATCATTTTGCAGGTGCCACTATAAGTGTGATCATTGATATCAATATGAATATTTCGGTTATTATTTCTGCCCTTATTGCAGTTCTGTACACATTGGTGGGGGGGCTTTACTCAGTTGCCTATACTGATGTTGTCCAGCTGTTCTGCATTTTCTTTGGACTGGTGAGTATCTTTCTATATTTCTATATCTAACCCTATGGTGATCTTCCTGAGTGTGGAGGGCAGGAAGCAGTTGCTTTATTAAAACCTAGATTGTAAGAAAGTTTCTGAATGGCTATGACAAATGATGGCTCTAGTGGGTGGAATTGACAGTCTTCTCAATCAGACCTTACAGGTGCAGTTGTGCTTCTGGTACCTACTGTGTGTGTACACCCCACCAATCTACTCCGGACCTATTGATCAGAACTACAGCTGGAATGGGAAACCTTTGTCCTCCAGTGGTTTTGGACTACAAGCATACAAACATTTCCCATTGTCCAAGCTGGGAAGAATTGTTGGAATCCATACAATCAGAATTCCCTTGGTCCAAATTAAGACAAAATATACTCTGTCCAACGTCTATGGAATTTTATTGCCATCCACATAAGATGCCCTGTTTTGTAAAGTCTGTTCTAATTTGCATAGGTTTTAACAAGATAAGAAATCTCAAAGGAGAGCAAATATCTGATGAAAGACTTACCTTTTGTGTCATATAGACTTACTTCGTATAATTCCAGCTAGTTTGGGCTGGACCTGGCCACCAGGAGGACCTGTTCTGTAGTGCTGTAGGGAAAACATGGCAACTCCCCGTCTATATATTGTTGGATTGCAGTTTCCAGCAGATTTAAGAATGCTGGGAGTTCCAGTTCAACAATATTTAGAAACCTACACCATTGCTGCTCCCTCCTCTGCCTAAATTTAGTTCCTAGTCTCAACTAGAGAAGAGCTGTTGAATTAAAAGAATTTAACTGTTGTGTTGATTTACTTACTGTTTTTACCTAGATGCTCAGTTTGTAAAACACCGTGTCAGTAGTATGTTTATTTGATATTTCCAGAAAAGTTTTCTCCAGACCTATGTGGGATGTCAAATTTTCTTTAGGCTGAAAAAAAATCCTGATAATCAGAAAAGGTTATTCACTGCCTTTTCTAGGCAGAAATCTGTTTTTTGAAACAAGAACTGTTAGAACAATCAGTTATGAATTACTTCTTTGCTCTCTTTTTAATATTCATTTTAAAATTGCTTCTCTTTTGTGTTAGTGGATCAGTGTTCCATTTGCCATGTCTCATCCTGCTGTGACAGATATTGGCTACACGGCTGTACATGAAGTGTTTCAGGAACCTTGGCTTGGAACCATTAAAACACCTGACATCTTCATATGGGTGGACAATTTCTTGTTACTGGTAAGCACTCCTATGGAAAATTCTAGAAGTGCAAAAATGACTGAACAGAAGATGCTTAAGAATTTTACAACTGCCTAACCCTATCCTGAATATAACAGGTAGCTGATGTTAAGATAGCAACTATGGAAAATATTAGACTGAGTTTATTTGTTGAATGGGGAGCCTTGGTTGGGTGAATTACAAGTGGTACCACACAAGGCAGAAAGGGGTCTGTATGATCTTACTTTGAGGCCCAGAAGATGCCATTTTTAAAACAGGAAGTGAACTAGAAATCAAGACTATATATTCAGCTGAACTTAAGTGAGTTGCTCATGGCCAGGAATTGTGGAACATCTTCTTCCTGTTATTTACAGATTCTAGGAGGAATCCCTTGGCAAGCGTATTTCCAACGAGTTCTTTCTTCTTCATCTGCTACATATGCTCAAGTGTTATCCCTCCTGGCGGCGTTTGGATGCCTTGTGATGGCATTACCTGCAATACTCATTGGTGCAATAGGAGCATCAACAGGTACGTTGAATCTCTTGTTCATGGTGACTTGAAAATGTTGATTTAGCAGGGTTGGTAAAGCTTTAGATGACCAAGTTCTGACCTGTAGCTGTCATTGCTGTATGAGAATTATAGTCCAAAGCATCTGGAAGGCCTGAAGTTTTCCAACTCTACCCTAGGGAAAATGAATATTTCACCTTTGGTGACCATGCTGATCTCTCCTTTTCTCCCATGTTCCTTTTTCCTTGGTGTTTAATACACTTCTTGCCTTTTTAGTTTTAAACCTGTCTTTGGTTTAGGACATTTGAGAAAGGGGAGTTTTATTAATTTGTCTGTTTACACACAAACATGTAAAATATATTTTTGCAATATGTATTGTTGTATATGTAATAGGCAATATGTATTTTTTTCAATTAACGTGTTTCTATAATATTTAATCCTGCCATAAAGCAATAATACCTAATAGTCTATTGAAATGGAAATGGAGGGCCAAGCTGCATATGATTTCAAATATCTGATTGCATTGCATTTCACTTTTTAAAAGTGTGAAAGGTAAATACCAGATAAAATTTCAATCAGTAAAATGGAGGTGGGTTGGCCGAACAAGATGTCCAGAAAGCAGAGCTCTATTGTAAACCATTTGCTTCCCTGCACGACTAGCAAGAGAAAATGCTATTTGCATTTATTATTTATTTAAACATACATTTTGATTGTGTTTATTTATTTATTTATTTTCCTCCAAGGAATTCGAGGCAGTGAGCATGGTTTTCTCCCTCCTCAGTTTATCCTCACAAAAATCCTGTAAGGTGGATCAGAGACTGAGTCCCCAAACTCACACAATGAGCAAGAATTTACACCTAAGGGTGCACCTACATTGCTGGAGCCCCCAGTGGCACAGTGGGTTAAGCCCCTGTGCCAGCAGGACTGAAGACCGACAGGTCGCAGGTTTGAATCCGGGGAGAGGCGGATAAGCTCCCTCTATCAGCTCCAGTTCCTCATGTGGGGACATGAGAGGAGCCTCCCACAAGGTTGATAAAAACATCAAATCATCTGGGCATTCCCTGGGCAATGTCCTTGCAGACGACCAATTCTCTCACACCAGAAGCAACTTGCAGTTTCTCAAGTCGCTCCTGACACGACAAAAAAAAAACCTACACTGCTGAATTATTGCAGTTTGACACCACTTTAACTGACATGGTTCAGTGCTGTGCAATTTCAGGAGATTTAGTTTTACAAGTTCTTTTTCTCTGCCCAAAATTGCTGGTGCTTCCCCAAATTACAACTCCTGCTGTTCCATAACATTGAGTAATGGCAATTAAAGTGGTGTCAAACTGCAGAAAGAGTACAGATGCACCCTAAGTTTTCTTAGCATTTTCCCTATCTGTCTGTCTGTCTGTCTGTTTGTCTGTATCTCTATCTATTAATTATTTTATCTTGTTCAGGTTTCAGAATTTAAGCTCACCATGGTGTTTAAACTTTCTTTTGCATAGAATCCATAATTATTTATGTATATTTGTATTACAGCTTGGAACCAGACTGCATACGACGGTCCAGATCCTAAGCTAAATAATGAAGCCGACATGATTTTACCTATTGTCCTTCAGTATCTTTGCCCAGTGTATATATCCTTCTTTGGCCTTGGCGCGGTGTCTGCTGCTGTAATGTCCTCTGCCGACTCTTCCATCTTATCAGCAAGCTCCATGTTTGCACGAAACATTTACCAACTTTCCTTTCGACAAAGTGTAAGAGTAATTTGCAACAACTTTTTTATGGGATACAGTAACAGTATTACACTTGGTGGCTGGTTACAGGTTTCCTATATAGAAAAAAGAAAAAAGAAAAAAGAAAGAGCACTCCATGAGTAAGCAGACTTTGAAATTGCTTATGGAATCTATTTTGAGTTTTACTAGATCCCCACAGTTCATTAATGAGAACCAGGTGGAAAACAGTAGGAGATCGGGGGCTACAGTGGAGTCAGCTGTCTCATGCAGTTCAGAAGTATTGTAGTATTGTATATTGGAATGCAAACCTGCGACTGGGTTACTGCACATCCAGGATTCTAGCACAAGGAATTAAGGTTTAGCAAAAGATAAGCACGAGACAAAGTCTGGCAGAAAATTCATTTTTCTTGTAATCATTGTACTATTAGAAGCCAGAACCCCTTGTTGATCTACTGCATGTCACTCAGAGGTGTACCAGGATATTGTGATGTACATTCAAACCATCCCAAAGTACTTAGTTGTTGTTGTTGATCCATGCAGACCTTTGAGACATTGACTTAGCTTCGCCCACAGTTATAGCTTTACCTGCCCACTAACTCTAGGTAGTTTGCAAAAATCCCTTCCTAGACCCCCACCCACCCACTCAAGGAAAGGGAACAGAAAAGAAGTGCAATCTGAAATTATAGTGGCTTATGACTTCCACATTGATGGAGTAGTAAATGGTTCCATGTTTCAGAATTTTCCAAGGGTTGGTGGGTGATGCTCCAGCACCATTTGGCAAAGAAGACCTGCAACTCCCATCCTTCTACAGCATTGTGCCGTAATAGTTAAAGTGATGTCAAACTGCATTAATACTACAATATAGATACACCCCAATGCCCTGACCCTTATTTCCAAAATAGGCTCCTCTGGATAACTACTCTGAGGTCCCAAAGGCAAATGCAGCTCCCAGATTTTGAGATGTATCCATCCTCTAAAATTATGACTGGGAAAATGAGTTACATGCAGCCCTGGATCTGTTCCAAGACCCCCAGAGGGTTACAATTGCTCCAATCATATTGTTTTGTCACAGCTACAGTAGATCTATTCAACAAATTGTTGAATGGAAAGTCAATACATCTCATTGATTTGGTGGGTCTAGTTTAGGTAGGACCACCAACAGAATTTAAGCCAAGGTTTTCTAAACTAAGAATACCCCTGACTCCCAGCAGTTGCCCATCCCTGCTGTAAAGGATAAGGCCATCCTTCATCTCTAAGAGTTCTTAGTGAATGGATGATGGGGGAAATGTACTTGCCAAATGGCAGTGACTTGAAATGTGTCCAGAGGAGGGTGACCAAAATAGTGAAAGGTCAGAAAGCTAAGCCCTTGAAGGAGTGGCTTGAGAAAGTGGATGTGTTTAGCCTGGAGAAAGGACTGTCAAGACATAACATGATAGCCATTTTTTTAATATTTGAAAGGATGTCACATTGAAAATGGGTCCAGCTTATTTTCTGCTACTACAGAGACTAGGACACAGAGCAATGGGTTCAAACTACAGGGAAAGGGATTCCACCGAAGCATTAGGAAGAACTGTTCAACAGTAGAATACACTACTTCAGAGTGGAATGGAGACACCTTCTTTGAAGGTTTTTAAAAAGACGATGGCTATTTTTCAGGAGTGTTTTGATTATGTATTCCTGTATGATAGAGGCTTGGATGGGATTACCTTTGTGGTATCTTCCAACTCCATTTTAACAGGGCAGTTTGGTTACAAGACACAAATTCCTAGATTTGTGGTGAGGTTTTTTGTTAGAATTTTAGGAGACTTGGATCCATGTAATTCTCTTTTCTTTTTTGACACACTGTTTCTATGTCTTACAGGCATCAGACAAAGAACTTGTTTGGGTCATGAGAATTACCATTTTCATGTTTGGAGCAATGGCAACAATGATGGCTCTGCTAACTCAATCTGTCTATGGACTCTGGTACCTCAGCTCTGACCTTGTGTATATTGTCATCTTTCCTCAGCTTCTGTGTGTCCTCTTTATCAAATGGACTAACACTTATGGTGCCATTATGGGATATTTGCTTGGCCTTCTACTCCGGATTACTGGAGGAGAACCATATCTGCATTTGCAACCCTTGATTTTCTATCCTGGTTGGTATAAAGATGAGGACCGATACATTCAGAGATTTCCTTTTAAGACAGTAGCCATGCTTACTTCCTTCCTCACTAACATTGGAGTATCCTATCTAGCAAAATACTTGTTTGAAAGTGGCACTTTGCCACCAAAGTTAGACTTCCTTGATGCTGTGGTTGCAAAGTATAGCAAAGAGAACATGGACAAGACAACACTTGTGAAAAGTGACAATATTGTTCTCAGTGAGCTCACACCTGTAAACCCACGACACAGTTTGACTCTGAGCTCCACCTTCACTAATAAAGAGGCCTTCAGTGATATTGATTCGAGCCCAGAAGAACCCATTAAAGAAATAAAGTGACTGCGACCGAACTAAAGAGAAGTACTGCTTCCATATCCCTCACAATACAACAGGGTATGCCACAAAGGGAGATCAGAGGCATTTAAGTTGAAGGGGAAATGGATAAGAGAGCAAACAAGATAGTCCACAGTAAATTCTAGGAGCAGAAATAGCCTGTGGAATAAACTATTGCATATATTATAAAATCTGTTGGCTAGAATGATAGAATATCTCACTCTTCTTGCATTTGGATGAAACAATACTATTTATTGGGAAAGTGATAGGGTGGTCACTTTTGCATTTTCCAAAAACACATCGCCAAAAGAGAGAGGACAAAAAGGGCACAGGTTTCCATAAAATCATCATACTTAAAATAATTACTTCGACCACAATCTTATGCATGAATAAGTTCCCCTACTGAAGTTGTTGGACCTTTTTGTGCAATGCAGAATGTCTAGATTCAGACTTGCATAATGGGTACCCTTTTGCATGCAGATGTGCATGTCAATGTAGATGTATTCTGTGGCAGATTGGAGTTGCACAGTTTTTGTCATTTGACACAAGGGTGCCTAGCACAAACAATGGGGAACTCCACATGCAGAAGTTTACACCTCACAGTCCCAAAGTAGGATTTCAGCCTATAATTTAGAAATACTCACTGAACTCACTGACTCTTAGTATCCACTAGGAATTGGTTCTAGGACCTCCTCATGGATACCAATATCTGTGGATGTTCAAGACCAATCATATATAATACTTTGGTAAAATGGTGTCCCTTATATAAAATGGCAAAATCAGGTTTCGCTTTTTGGAATTTTTGTGGATGGGGATATTTTCTGTGGCTATGGAGGGTCATCTCACTAGAGCAATGGAAACTATGGCCAGATAGCCTGTCCAGTGTTCTGCCTGCTCTCCAAGTGCTGATGGATGATAGCATCAAGCCTCTGCTGCCCTTCCTTCTTATGAATTTGTTCTAAACAGCAATTTAAACTGTCTTCTGAAGGCCCCTCAAACATTGGGCAGTCCCAGTTTGACAAGACAGTCCCAATCCTCAGTTTTTCAACATTATAATATGTCCCAGTTATCCTTCCCTCTTCCTTATACAATCCTCTTTCGTCCTCAGCTTATTTTATTTAATGGAAACTAAATTCAAACCTCGAAAGTAGTTTGCATAAAGTTAATTCAGCATGGGAGAGAGGAGAGGAGGAGGGATCTTGCCCTTCTCAGTAGGCAAAATGCCTACTGTTCTTCTCCATTAATGTTTGCCATCTTGTCCACTCTCTGATTAGTCATACGTATCCTGGTTTTCATCTGAGAAATAGCAGAGAGTAGGGGACAGTCCTCTAGTAAATTAACATCTGTGACCACCTTCAGGGCATCAAAAGTGGATCTGGGGACGAGAAGAAAAAAATCAAACCCTTTCCCATTTAGGGTTGCCAGAGTCTTTTCAGATGCCAATATAAGCCAACTCAAATATGGTCAGTACATTTAGGACAGACCTAGAAAAAGCCAACCTCTAGACTTATGAAAGAGGCATCTCTCATGACAATTCCAGGCTTTTGTGAGATCAGAGACCTTACAATAGCCAAGAACTCATGAGAGATTTGAGAAAGGCAGGAGGAGCTAATAGCAGGAAGAAAAGGCACTAGCTGCCCTCACAACAGATGGATCCCTGTGGAATTTGATATTAATTTAAAAACCATTTCGTTGCAAATGAAGTAGTCTGCGGGGTCAGTCTCTTGTGAATGTAGCTGGACCCTACTGTTCCTATTTGCACTAGATCCTAAAATGTGGCTAAGCACTGTGTACTTTGGCCTCAGGCCCATTGGGCTCCAAGAATTTGTACTAGCTCTCTTCCCACAGCCCAGCCTGACCACTAAAAGGGATGGAGATTGTTTGAAGAAAAAATTAAGGAATTGCCTTGGTTTCTGGTGTTCAGGCACTTGTAATGTCCCTCCATAAACTGTGAATTTCTGTTTGGGATCAAAACAGAACAAAGGAGGAAGTCCCTAAATTCTATATAGTCCTTCTGTTGCTGGGTTGTGCCATTTCAGAGTAGGGCCAATCACCAACTGAATAGATCACAAAAGGTTTCCTCCAAATACAATCTTTGATGTTGCAGAAAAGACTACCTTAAAATCATATTCCTGCCATTCTAGTCTGACATGTATACTGGGTATATTTTATGCAAAAATTATTCAAACTTGCAATAACTTCACTTTCAGTCTGAAATAGCATAGCCTAGCAACAAATATTTCATCCAGGACTTTTCCTCATCTTTTTCAATGTGCTGTATTACTAATTAGTCAACTGCTTGATTAAAGAGCACAGCAGGAACCTATTTTCCAAACTATGACTTTGTATATATTCCTAGCTGTGTATGGATTCAGCGTGTGCCTTTCATGTAACCCTATGTAGCCAGTGTCAATATGAGTCCTGGTAAATTGCTGTCACTTGTGTATTCATCCAATTATCCTCATGTTTGTAAATGTCTTTCAGCCCTAAGATAGTCAGCATTTGGATAGAGATGGTTTTGCTGTACTCTGAACCAAACTGCACCAAACTATTGAATGTGTGCAAAGACTCATGAAACTAGCAATATGTCTATTCTCAAAGTGGTAAGAATCTGTGATTTAATTCAAAAAATTGGCACACGGGGAAGTGAAAAGTTCATTGGAACAAATGGATGGATTGAACCATTGCTAAATAGTATTATTAGCATTTTGATATGGGAAGTAATTACCAATGCACAAATGCCTAGAACAGCCGAACTGCACCAAAGAGGCAACAGCTTGTGATCATTGCTTTGATTTTACTCTTAAAGTTACATTAGAGATACAGTTTTACAGAAAAGTGGTTCTCAAGTGGTGAAAGGTATCTTGTTTGTTGTGGCACATGTTTTCCCACACCTGCATTAAGCATACTTTGTTTTGTGATTGGTCATTAAGAAGGTAAAATTGGAAGGTGATTGGAAGACTTAATGTGCAAGTCTGATTGCTGAGACCTATTTTTACTGCTGCTGTCGCTGCAACTGTTGGTCCCACACCAGAAAATCGTTGATAAAATTGTTATTATCTTTTCCACGCAACAGTAAAATTATTTGATAACCAGGTATAGGAATAGATTAATCAGGGAGGTCTTTCTGAACAATGGCAGAGGTTCCAATCCTGTCTCCTTTTTGAAATCTATAGATGAGCCAGAGAAGAAATACACTGAAACATCATTTATACTACCAATCCAAGACTACTGGCCAGGAACCAAAGCTGAGGGAAAGTATTTTTTAATTACAGCACTCATAATCTCGTCAACATGACTGATGAATAAGCTAACTGACAGATGCCAAAAACTATAGTTAAAAAAAGTAACTTTCTAAGATCTACTCCAAACCAGAACAGTCTCAAAGCCTTGCTTGCAGTAGTTTCATTCTCTGGTCATAGGAATTGCTCTTCTCTCCTTTGAACTCACAAGAGTTCAGTCAAATCTGTCCCTTTGGGGGGAGAAGGGTGGGGTAGAAATGCATGGAATAAATAATTAAATCTGTCTATCTGGCTGGTTGTCCATCTGAGGAGATCTGTGAACTAGCCCCAATCTTCCTAGCTTGTTTCCCAGTCACAACTTGGTCTGAGGAATTAAGTATTTTGGAGGAGAAAGAGTATCAAGACAAGACAATTGAAATCTTAGTGTATACATGTTTTCATATTCATTAGGCTTAACATTTTTAAAAAAAATTAATGACATGCTCTGTACATAAAGCTATCCAACTTAATGGATCATATTTAACAAATTCACAAGAAAATACCACTTATAGTAGCAGCTAGCAGCTGAAGGCAAGTACCTCTGGCATCCAGGGCTGTAGCTAGAAGGTAGGGGTGTGTGTGTGTGTGTGTGTGTGTGTGTGTGTGTGTGTGTGTTAAGGGTTCTAACAACTCCCAAAAAGGTTCTAACCCCCCACCCAATTTTTCTCATAAAAAAGACAAAATAATCAAGAGTTTCCAATCTCTCAAAAACGTTCTTGGTTTTTATAAACCAGATTTTCCATCTTTTTTCTAACATATCACCTTACATAAAGTATCATGTCTACATATTGTATCTCTAACCTCAATGTCCACCAAATTTATGTAAAATATATCTTATATTTAATCTATGTCATATATATATATACCTGCTGTAAGGTATATATATCTTACAGCAGTGGTTCTCAACCTGTGGATCCCCAGATGTTTTGGCCTTCAACTCCCAGAAATCCTAACATCTGGTAAACTGGCTGAGATTTCTGGGAGTTGTAGGCCAAAACACCTGGGGACCCACAGGTTGAGAACCACTGCCTTACAGCATTTATCCCACCTTGTCTTTAAGGTTAATTTCTTTTTTAAAAAATAAACCAAACATCCCACCTTCAAAAAACAAACAGCATGAGTATTTTCAGGCCAAATATATCCAATCCTTTGTAATTATCACCTATAACATTTATATTTGGTTCTCTACTATGCCTCAATCACTGTAAAAACTAGACATAACTCATTCAAAGTAAATAAGCATCATTCCAGATACATAGATAATCTTAACTTCAGATGTTTTGTTTATATCCCCATAAATCATCTAGGCAAATCATTCCCCTTCTCATTTTATTTCTTCTTTCACAGCTCTGTCTAGGAAACATTAATTCTCAGTAAAATCCTCTATAACCACTATCAGCTCTCTGATAATAAAATCTCTTGCTTGCAAAAGGTTCCTTCAGATGACACAATTTTTTATTTCAGTAGAAAACCTGAATGGTCTGTTTTTCTCCTTATCTTTCTTTCCAACTTGAATTTCTTTGATTCTTTGCCATTTTCATTACACTCCTTGACCTTATAAGCCTCAGTTCCTTTCAGGGCTTATTTCCAAACTGTTGTCATCTGGTTTAAATCCTCTATCACCTATTTCACCTTGTTACTCATATAACATGACTCCTTCAATGGAATGGGGTATGTACAACCCTCCAGGTGCTGTTGAACTGCCACTAATTTCGTCCAAAGTAGATCCAATAATGAAATAACAAA